GGGGGGGGGGGGGGTGGAAGGCCTAAGACAGGGTGGCCAGAGGCCTGCCTTCCTGCAAGGAGCGTCCTCTGGCGTATTTTACCTGCATGTTTCACTCCCATCCTCTGTCCTGCCTTCTCTGTTTCTCCACTGCCAGGCCCCCCAAGGCAGCTCCTCCCAAATCTCCCGGGTTGTCTCAGACCCCCCCTGGTTCACTTCTGAATCGGAAGGGCAGGCAACACCTTGGCAGGAAAGCACACCCGCCCAAAAGCACGGATGCGTCTCTTATTAGCAAGGAAAGCACAGTTTGTTGAATTAGTGAATTTTTTTTAATGTTTTCTTTTTTTAATTGATTTTAGAGAGAGGGAGAGATAGAAACATCAGTGATGAGAGAGAGTCATCACTGATCGACTGCCTCCTGCACGCCCACTCCTGGGGGTCGAGCCAGCAACCCGGGCATGTGCCCTGACCTGAATCAAACCGGTGACTTCTTGGTTCATAGGGCTGGCTCAACCACTGAGCCACACTGGCCAGGGCGAGCAAACAGACTCTTGATTACGCTGAATATCTCAGAAACCTGTCTGAAGAGCTTTTCCTTGTAGGGCTGTAAGAAGATGAACCTTAAACCTTTTATCTTCACACCATGAAGACAAACATCCTGGGATTTGGACAAAGTACTTTCATAACAACTGATACAATATTTAAAACACCAACAATTTTTATCTTGGTGGTTTAAAAAAAAAAAAAATTTGAAATCGTCTGAACATTGTTTCAAAGCTTTGGAACTACTAAAAGACAAAGGACTATGAATGTCCATAAAAGGAAAGGAAAGAGCAAATTTTCTAGCATTAGGGCAAAAAAAAAAAAAAAAAAAAATCTAATCTTCCTAAACAAAAAGGGTTAGTGTTCAGTAGACAATAGCTTCTTGTCAAGAGGAGCCAGGAAATGTATTTTCTTTGAGACTGTTTAGTTTTGACCTTCAGCCTTACTGAAAAAGCCAGTCACTGTGCCTTAAAAGTTCTTTTTTTTTTATGATCGTATTTTCCTGGAGTTAAAAAGAGTGTCTTCAGCATTAGCTAGTATACCTATTAATAGCATCCACATGCTAACATCATTTCTAACATCTGACGTAATCTATTATTAACCGTTAGGTTAACAAAACAAAGAAAAAAGGAAAGAGATACACACACACACACACACACACACACACACACACGCACACAACTCAATAAAAAGATACATTTGAATGCGGAAGATACATAATGACCAATAAGTGTATCAAGATGCTGAATGTTATTGTTCATTAGAGAAATGCCAATCAAAGCCAGGAAGAGAGGCCGTTCACTTTCCCCGCGGAGGCTAGGATCCGAGACCGACACGAGCAAGTGCAAGTGAGCCCGTGGAGAGACTGGAACGCAGACGGCGCGGCCCCCTTCCTCCCTCCTCTCCGCAGAGTGGCGATGGCCCGGGGCTGGGCCATGCTGGGGAGAAACTGGGGATGGCCGCTAATGTGTATAGAGTTTCTTTACCGGGACAATAAATACGTTCCCAAATTCAGTGCGGCAATAGTTGCACAAAACTCTGCGAATACGTTAAAAATCATTGAGCCCTGGCCTGGGGTGGTTCAGTGGTTAGAGCACACCGAAGGGTCGCAGGTTCGATTCCGGGTCAAGGGCATGCACCTGGGTTGCAGGTTCGATCCCCAACCCCTATAGGGATGAGTATGGGAGGCAACCGATCAATGTGTCTTTCTCACATCAGTATTTCTCTCTCTCTCTCCTCTCTCTCTCTCCCCCCCCTTCTGAAAATCAGTCGAAAAAATATCCTCAGGTAAAGATTAACAGCAAAAAAAGGTCATTGAATTGTTCACTTTAAATAGGTGAATTATATTGTATGTGAATTATATTTCAATAAAGCTGGTGTGTGTGCACTT